TTGATGTCCACAAGGCCCCCTATGCCCTCTTCTGTCAAACCGCCTTCCAGCTGCGCAGTCCTCAGTATATCCTACCATCTGGGGTTGTTCCTCCCCAGCTGCAGGACTTTTTGCTTCCCGTTGCTGAACTTCATGAGGTTCCTGCCATCTCATTTCTCCAGCCTGTCTCCTCTAGATGACCCTCTGGAATGGGCTCATCTAGACTCTCTGGAACGACTCTCCGGAATATCACCTACGCCTCACAGTACTGTGTCAGCAGAACTTCTGCTTTTGTACAAGCAAACCTGATGAAAGTACAATCTGACCTATCGTCTACATCATTAATGAGGATGTTGAACAAGCCTGGACCAAGAACTGACCCCAAACGCACACCACTTGTTTCTTGCCTCCAACCATACTTTGCAACACTGATCACCGTCTGGGCCCAAACTGTTCAACCAGTTTTCAACCCACCTCAGTGACTGCTTGTCCAGTCCATACATCAACAGCTTATCATGGCAATTCATTACACAACATTCTCTTAACCTTGTCTGAAATTAATTCTCTACCTTTGCAAAATGAAATCTTTTGTCACAAGTTTAAAATGAGTGTTCACAATTTATCTATTTCTCATGAATTTTGAAACACAGTGTGTAAATTAAGCTTAGAAGGTTAAGTAGCTTCAGGCTTCTTTATGAGATATTATTAACTTATTTATGAATCTCTCTCTTTGTTGTAATGTTCTTCAGCTTAAGGTTATGGAACTGTAACTTCCTATCAGAGCATCTCTAATTAGACTAGCATTTCCCAATACATTAGAAAGCACAGTGAAGGAGGAAGTACCATTACCATCTGATTTTCTTCTCCTGCTTTTACACAATACCACTACAAATGACTAAGCTCAGTGCTTTTGTGAATTAGGATGAAATGGCTGATGTTAATTTCTGTGCTTATCACCTTTTTTTTTTTTTTTTTTTTTTTTTGTGAGGAGGGAGCTTTCTTTTTCAAGTAGAAATGGATAAATTTCTATTTTCATCAGGAGAACATGAAGAGTCTAACATGATGACTATCTTCCTTTCAGATTAATCTCTTAAAGTCATTTGGTTGTTCAGCTCTTAATGTGCTCTTAAAGCTTTTTCCACAATATATTTGCAACCTGGTTAAGCCACTTCTCTATCCTGATATTTTTGGAAGCACTGAACATGCACATCACTGGGTTGGTGCTTTTTTGTTTAATCAGTAAATAAAAGCTAACAACCACAAAAAGCACAAATGCATGTCTGTGTTTGGTAAGTCAAAAGTCGTTTAGCATTTAATTCTGCCTTGAATCTGATGACTAACTGAAAAGAGTAACATTTGAGATGAACCAAGGCAGCCATTAATTGGAATAAAATGGCTACACTGCACAGAACACCACCCTTCCCACACTCTCACCACGAGGGATTGTCACTGTCACACAGAACATCTGGAGCAGCTAATGAAATTAACAAAATGTCTGACTGATTCTTCTTCTGTATTTTAAGAGATAAGCACACACATAAAATAGCTTCCTTGTGCACTCATTAATTATTTGAGTCTTTCAAGGTCTTACAACTGTGTGAGGTCACTTGCACCTCTGCAGAACATCACTGGGAGTTACAGCTGCTCCATTCACATCGTATTGAAAGATCAGGGTGTGAAAAATTGTACTTCAGCATGTTTTGTTCATTACTGGTTCCTCTCTTTCCCTGTCGCAGTAACAGGGCATAGGGTGGCATATAAACCTCTTGCTTTCCAGAAAATGCCAGCTCAGGGAAAAGACCACTTCTTGTTAACCAGAGTGCCATCAGGACAGCTCTGACACAGAACCATAACAATAACTCCAGCCAAACAGCTTGGAAAACGTACACACTGAGTACTGCGTGTCCTTGAAGCAATATTTACTGTTTGTTTGTTCCTTAGCAGGAAGGAATGCAGATACATTTTCTTCTAATTACGAGACTGCAAAATCAGACCAAATAGCTATCCCTGGGCACAGATTTTACAGAGTACTTAGGACACCACTTAGGATGATTAGCATGACTTTGAATTCGTATGAGCTCTCTTCTCTCCAACTATTATTTGATGAGGTACTTTGGCTTGCTGAACCATGCACAGATGACATGCAGCCTCGGCCTGATTCTACAAGCCATTCCACATGGGAGATGCCTGACTTCTTGCCCAACCTGCCAGAAGCTGAGAACATCTCCATAGTAATTTACATTTGTTTGTGTACGACAAAAATCAGCCACCCTGCTTGTCTCCTGGCACAACTGATTACAATTCAAATACAGTGCTGACCTGCACTGACCCAGTTAGCAGGCAAGGAACATTACATCAAATAAGCTATGTTAAAAGTGATCATTCACCTACTCCTCGTGCTACACAAATACCTTTGTCTCAACAAAAAACAATTTCCACTCTGCCCACTGTTCTCCATGCAAAGGGGAGAACAAGGCTTATTTACAGGAGCTCTGCACTTTCAGAGTCTAAGGGCACAGAAAAACGGATCATTTACTCTGATTTCCTTTATATCACAAGCATTTGACCTTTGCAACTTGAAGAGAAATTTGTGGTTTATTTCTGATTTAAGTAGAACGTGTTCTGCTGATGGCTAACAACCAGAAGGGCATCAAGCTTTGAACTGAAAACATAAAAAAATACAAGATTCACTAATTCTCTTCCTCGTCTGCCCCAGTAATTAGTCACTGTAAAGTGAACATAGGCAACTATCATGTTACAGCTTTGAATCACACATCCCTTCTCTGCTTATTTTGAAGGTCTTCTAGTTGACATATTTTCACTCTCCCCCCAGAAACCTTTTTTTGCTTCATCAGGTCACCCTACGATCTTCCTTCTGATAACCCAGACAAATGAAAACGTTAAGCTCCTCACTGTATAGCATTTTCTCCAGATGTCTAACATGTAGTTTTTTCACAGCTACATATATATATATGCTTTTTTTTGTTTTTTAAATGAAAAAGCTACCAGAAAATGAACGCAAGAACTGACTGCATTATTCTTGTGCCAGTCTCACCAGTGCCATATACACATACAGCCACAAAATCTGGCTTCTAATAACTGCTCCCTACTCAAGGGGTACATTAACCCTTCTGACTTCACACTGCAGTAGGAACTCACCTTCAGCTGCTTTTCCTCTAAATCCTTTTTAGACTTTCCACTTCCGTGAGAGCAAACTGGCGTTCATTTTCACTGTATAATTTTGTACTTGCTTGTATGAAAATGTGCTTTTAATGGCTCCAGCTTACCAAGAACTCCAGTAACATGTTTGCTTTATCCTTTTTATTACTGTACAAGACATTTTATTAGTGGATAGTCCCCATTCATGTTTAGATAGCTAGTAAAAACATAAGGCACCCATCCTCTAACTGATCGTTCTGGCAGCAACTGTTCAGTTCTCACTTAAACCCAGGGACACCTAAACACTGAATACACCCCACTTTTCAACAGCAAAACACCCCTTGTGCTTAAAAATCCAGCATACTGTAGCACTTCTAGTTAATTAGATTAAAAGGCATGCATTTTGGAAATAATATTTTTAAAAATTACTTATTCATGAGGACAATATAACTTTTAACTTGTGCCTGGTTTAGCTATCCTCACATTTGAGATGATAAAAAGCCTTAAAAACAAAGACCTTATTATGACTCAATCGTTAAGCAACATGCCAAATGTGCTTTTTTTTCTTGGAGTGAACTGCTGCTATTGAGTAAGTTTGATTCAAATCATGCAGCTCAGCTGGTACCTAACCTGAGCATGCAAATGGAGAGTGGGGTTTAACAGCACATGAAGCACTCAGTCAAATGCAGCATGGGATTCTGTGGAATTGCTGGATCCATTCCATCAACATGCTTTTTACTTTCAACGGCACAGAACACTAAGTGTCTCCTGTCAGTTAATGACCACTCTCTTAACAGCAGTGAGTATCCAAGCACCTGGATGACAGCACACAAGGAAAAATCTACTGTGAGGAGAGCTTAGCATTCAGTTAACAGACAGAACTCAACTGGATGAGGTACTGCACTGGTAGGTCAATTTCACAACCACCTTAATGACCATGGAGCTGGAAAAGATGCCCAAATATTCAGCATCTATTGATGCTGACAGATTTGAGTAATAACTAAAGAAAGACGCCACCAACTCTTTCACCCCAAACTTATTTTAGCACATATTAATGAAAACATAAACACCCTTCTCCATCAGTCTTCAGACGAGCTCTCATTGGCCTACATACAGCTAATCCTAGGAATGTGATCTATGAGTAAAGCACTAAACCCTTAGGAAATTTGTTGAAATAAACATAATATCCATACACTTGATTTTCAAGGGCATGAAGCATCCACAGATCACATTTGAAAATACTACACACGTCTGAAAACTGGGACATGTACTGTTTCTGCTGTTACACTGCTGCCCCAGCTTCCCTGCCCTTTACCTCGCCTATAGCATCAAAGTATTTTTAAATGTGTTTTACACAGTCAGGTGCTGAGAATTCATTAAAAGCAGTATGTTAAAGTACTTTTAAGGCAAATGGATCTGTTAGCTTTTAACACTTCAAAGTATTATATCTCAAGCAAAGCTGATTTTTATAACCACAGCAGCAAGTTTATCATCTTGTTGATAATAACAGAAAATAAATCTGTTAGATAAAGCTATCTGTGCAAACTGGTGAAGATTAAGAGGTATAAACGTTTCTGTGCCTTCCACAGCATGAATCATGGAATGGCTTGGGCTGGAAGAGACCTCAAAGATCAAATAGTTCCACCCCATCTTCCACGGGCAGAGCTGCCAATCACTAAGTCAGTCTAAGGGCTCCATCCAACCTGGCCTTGAACACCTGCAGGAACGGCACAACCACAACTTCTCTGGGCAACCTGTGAAAATGAATATCAAATACCAAAACTCCTTGGTTGCTTTGCCTGTCACCTTCCCTGAGGAGACAACAAGGCAAAATACTTTACTCTGAAAACAGCTGCACTCACCCGATCTTCTTCTTCTCTGACATCTGGCATGGTGCTGATACAGAGGCTGACTGCAGTGATGGCAACAAAAGAGATTGAAATACAAGCAAAGATCTTCCCTGGAATCCCTGAGTGGGGGTTCTCCACCATATCCCTGAGATTTCTCATGCACAAACTCAACCAGTTATTGTCCTGGAAGGCACATTGAGTAGTTTCACTAAACATCATCTCCCCTTCATACATCCTGGCTTCAGCTGCCTCCTCCTCTTTCTGTCGCAATCTCTTTTTACAGCACCACTCCAGGTGGTCCTCTTCTATCCCCCAGTACACAAGCTCCTCCTGAAAAGAAAGAGCACACATCTCCCTGAGAAGTCTCAGCTTCCCAGCTGTCAAGAAAGTCATGATTGTCCTGAAGGCACTAGGATTACGGTCAAAAAAAAATTCATTGCAGCTAATATCATAGTCATCACAGATGTTCATGATCTCATCATAATTGTTGCAAGACTTTAGCTTCCCAAGCCTGGTCAAAGGGCAGTTCTCCAAGGTGGTCCAAGGAATTTTGTATTTAATACCACCTACATTGATGATCACAAACCTGGTCCGGTCATCCAGGTGTGCTAAGTAGCACAAGTCTTCATTGGGGTGCAAAAGTTTGGCCTTTCTGTAGAAAAATCCTTTCTCGGTTTGCACTTCACACAAATTTTCCAGGTTATTGAAGGAGTAGGAGCTGAACGCAGGATCTGCATTCCCAGTGAGTAATGCCATTTCTTGATACGTTTGCTGAGGTCATTGGGAGGCTACTCAAAGAAAGGCATCTGGACCTTGATTGGAGAGTCGGTCTGTGAAACAGAATTTTTAAACGGCAATAAAATGAGGGCTTTGCTAGAGGAAAAAAATATCCCAAGAAACTTTTCTCCATGACATTACTTTGTATCCTATTATCTTAGAACTATACTCGCTCTGTACCCAGTGGAAATTAAGAACTTAAACTGCAGTAAGGTTGGGAGCCATGTCTACTTCTAGAGAGTTTAGTCAGTGAATGACTGGGGAAAAAAAACAGTGTATTATCATTTTCAGAAATGTCCTTTCCAGAGGTTTAAGCAATATCCCAGGTGCTAAGGGAAGAGAAACTGGGGCTTTTAGATTAATGGCAATTTTCATTTTAGCAACTTCAGTTTTTATTATTTTTGCCCATCTACTTTATTTATTAATTACAAAAATGCCTGAAGCACGAGGATAAAGTGTATGCCTACAGTACAATCAGAAATATGACTGCAGTAATGCTGGTAATTCCCATTTAAAATATACCAATCTTAGACATCAACTGCAGTGAATATGTTGGAGTTGAGAATCTGCAGGCAGCACTCAAACCAGGTTGGGCGCTTAAGTGCAGAGCATGTACTACCAAGATTCATTTGCCACTGGCAGCCCAATAAAGTGGATTAAAAGCTGCATTGGGTTCATCTACCAGTAGAGTCCCACTCTCCAACAAGAAGAAAAACTGTGCTCTCAATGTTGAGGTAACAGCCATAAAGTCTAATAACATCTCTTGCACAGAGGTGCAGATCCCAGCTGTGAGTGAGGTGGTGATCTGGAACAGAAATGCTCTGGATCATGGATGCTGCCTGAGATTCTGGTGTGTTTCTGTCTGATGGAGGTGGAAAGGGTGCCCTGCAGCCTGGCAGCAGCTCCAAAATGGGAGACTGAACCTCACAACGAAGCAGAGCTGGAAGCAACCCACCAGCTGCTTTTAGTTCCAGATAATGCAGAATCCGCATGATCACATTAGGCTACGGGTGGGTGTAAGGTGTTGACTATTCTGCCCTCTTCCTGACAGACATTTCTGAACAAACAATTGGGATGAAATAATTTTCCCATTGGTCTCAGCAGGGGATAACATGCTGGAAAGGAGCTCTGAGGAGAAGGTCTTAGGTGTCACTGTGGATATCAGGTTGGCCATGAAAAACAACAATATTTTGGCTGCATGAAGAAGAGTGAGGCCAGCTGGTCAGAGGAGGTGATCCTCCCCATTTCCTCTGCCCTGGTGAGGCCACATCTGGAGTACTGTGGTTAGTTCTGGGCTCCTCAGTTCAAAAAAGACAGGGAACTTCTAGAGAGTCCGGTGAAGGGCCACTAAAATGATTGGGGGTCTGAAACATCTCCCACACAAGGAAAGGCTGAGAGATATGGGACTCTGCAGCTTGGAAAAGAGAAGACTGAGAGGAGATCTCATCACTAATTATAAATACCTGAAGTGCAGGAGTCAGTGGCTCCATGCTCTTATCAGTGGCATGCAGCAATAGAACAAGAGGCAGTGGGTAGAAACTGCTTCACAGAAAGTTCCATACAAACATATGGATGAACTTCTAACTGTGAGAGTAGTGGAGCTCTGGAACTAGCTGCTCAGAGAGGTTGTGGAGTCTCCTTCTCTGGAGATACTCAGGATCCACCCATCCAGGGAACTTGCCTTAGCAGGGGGCTGGACTTGATCCCCAGTGGCCACTGCCAACCCCTACAATTCTGTGTTTCTGCGTGACTGCAATCTCAAAAGGATGGCATAAAGAAGCTAGGAACATAACTTTACCATACCCTCCTACTCAGGCTGCAAGACAAAAGGGAAACTGGAAGCTTTTTAATGTAAGGCAAAAGATCCTCCTTGCAAGAAGCTTTGCTCAGGGGGCTAAGTAGTCTAAGCTACTGTTCCACTCTGCCTTATCAAATTAAGCACTGTGTGTAACTCAAGGATTCAGTTTGTGCTTTCTGCCTACCCCTCCTTTACCACATCACAATCCACACATCTCCTGAACATTTTTTTTCACCTGCTTCCTCACCTTTAAAAGAGCTCTCCACCTAAGTTCCCCACACCTGTTTCTCCAAATCATCAGTAATAATAGATCTTGAAATGCTACTGTGTAATAGCATGTAAAGTAAGTAGGAAACAAGAAACTGGTGTCAGTGTTAGGACTACATGAAAGACTGGACAAAGAATGGATGCAGTGATGGTGAACAATCTTAAGCATAGAACGTGGAAAACTTGCAAGCTGAAAAAAATAAAGAAGAAAAAGTGTAAAGGAAGTCCTCATTCTGATGGTTACCATAAGGCAGTAATTCCGTAATTTAGAAGCAACATTCTCTAATTCCCTTTGAGTCTCATATGTCAGGCTGCAGAGAATACTGAACAAGTGGGTGCTAGGAAAAGACAGAGCACACATTAGAATACACTGACAGAGAAGCATCTCCCTTAATCCATAATCAACTCATTACCTCTCAGCTCATTAGACTTAATCAAAACAATCCCCAACAAGTAGTGAGTGCTTGCTACTCAAGGCCATGAGTCCCCTCTAAATATCACAGCCACGCAGCTATAGCAGTGGCATTCTTCCTTCTATGTTTCACTGAAGATAAGCATTCAATTTTCGTAAGGCATTTGTGTTGCATCTTTGAAAAAAGTTAGAGAAAGGCTGGGTAACACACAAAGCAGTGTGCTCTAACACCAACCTGCACTTCTTGTCAGGGTTACAATTCCAGAAGAGCCAATGATGCCAGAATGCCTCTAGCTTCATCTGGGTCCGAAAAACTTTGTTCCAATTTTGTCCAATGCCAAACAACAGATCAAAGCTCATTCCTCTGACTAAGGGCCAGGGAAGGACAAGTAGCAGCAACGTGTATTTTGAGAAATGGGTGCTTTTATAGCACCAGCTTGAGTGCAGCTGGGACTGCAAATACCGCTACTGTCATAGTGAGAGTGCATTGTCAGCACAGCGTTTGCTTTAGGATTTAGTCTCTTGCTGCTCTTTGTCAGTAAGATGAAATATTCATCATCGCTACTCCAGGCAGTGCTTTTGTTTCCATGCCTTGCCTGTTACACAAGTCAACATTTAAAAACTAATTTACATTGTTTTGACATCAAGGCCGAGATTTGCTTTTCTCCTCTACTCCACATAGCAGGTTGTTGCATAAAGGAACCAGATACATTTCATAGAAATATTCTGAATGTAATCCCTCTTTCTTCCAAGCAGCAGCTAACTGAATGTGAAAATCTGGAAGCATAGTTTTTATTACAAATTCTCTGACTTACAGATGGTTAACTTTTTATTTTGTGAATATAGGCACTCCAAAAGTAATGCCTCCCATTTACTTCCATGGAAATTACAACAGACAGAAAGAGCACAACAGCACTATTTGACAAAGCAAATTCTCTGTGAAGTATCCTATTCAAGATTTACTTTAAAAGCCAATGCATCCAGAAGTGATGCTACATTATAATCTATCTGGCATTTATACTGTTTGATCAGACACATGGGTGCAGGAAGAACTATTAAAATACTAATAAAATGGAAAAACCTGCCCTGTGCAGTGACACACGCCAGAATTTGACTTGATATTTGTTGTTCATCATTTTTAAATGCCATGGAAGAAATGCTATATAAATATTTCAGTTACATGATCTCATATCTCATATACAAACTGTGGATTCTTTTCTTTTTAAAGCAGAGTCAAACAATTTTTATACACTGAGAAATAATTTCTTTGGCCTCTATATGCATGCAAGTGTGTGCCTCCATACGCACACACATAGTTCAGACAAACTATGAACAGCATACAGATCATAGAGCATACAGACATTTTTCACTGAACTATTTAAATGAATACACAAAGCCTCCCCCTCAACGGAGAGGGGACTATTTCCCCACTTTTGGCATTTTCACTTTGCCTGCCCTCATCAACTTTCATCTCACAAACATTCTTCAGCATTTTTGTATCTAAGTCATATCTGGCTTTGCATGTCTTCACTGGTCTCAAATGCTATCTCCAAGCAAGTGGAAGAAAAGATGGCTATCAGGAGTAGTCAGCATGGATACACCAAGAGGAAATTATGCTTGACCAATCTGGCATCCTTCTCTGACGTCATCACCAGCTGTGTAGACAAGGGGAGAGCTGTGGATGTTGCGTGCCTTGACTTCGGCAAGGCTTGTGACACTGTCTTCAATATCATGCTCATAGGTAAGCTTAAGAAGAGTGGGATAGATGAGTGCACAATAAGCAGCATTGAGAACTGGCTGACTGTCAGAGCTCAGAGGGTTGAGAGTGGTGCAGAGTCCATTTGGAGACCTATAGTGAGCAGTGTTCCCCAGTGGTCAGTTCTGGGCCCAGTCTTGTTCAACGTTCTCATCAACAACACAGCTGGAAGGACAGAATCCACACTCAGGGAGTTTGCTGATGATACAAAGCTGGGAGAAGTAGCTGACACACCAGAACTGCTGCCATTCCTCAAGACCTGGGCAAGCTGGAAAGTTGGGCAGAGAGGAATCCTATAAGGTTCAGCAAATAGAAGTGCAGAGTCCTACTCGTGGGGAGGAATAACCACATGCATCAGTACAGAACAGGAGATGACCTGCAGGAAAGGAGCTCTGCAGAGAAGGATCTGGGTGTCCCAGTGGACAAATAGTCGACCAGGAGCCAGCAGTATGCCCCTGTAGCTGAGAGAGCTGATGGTATTCTGAGTGCACTATAAATAGTGTGGCCAGCAGGTTGAGGGAGGTGATCCTCCCCGTATCGTCTGCCTTGACGAGGCCCTGTCTGGCCATATCTAGTTCTGGGCTCCTCTGCTCAAAACACACAGGGGATTACTGAAGAAGTCCAGCAGAGGATTACAGAGATGACTAGGGGCCTGGACCATCTGCCTTCTGAGGAAAGGCTGAGAGATCTGGAGACCTGCCTGGAGAAGACTGAGAACAAATCACTGTTATAAATATCCAAAGTGCGGGAGTCAAATGAATGGGGCCAAGCTCTTTTCATTGATGTGCAGTGATGGGACAAGGGGCAATGGGCAAAAACTGCAACACAGGAAGATCCATACAAATAAGAGGAAGAACTTCTTTATTGTGACAGCGACTGAACACTGGAACAGGCTGTCCAGAGGTAGTACAGTTCCCTTCTCTGGAGATACTCAAGACCCACCTGGATGCTTAGCTATGCAATCTGTCTAGGGAACCTGCTTTGTCAAGGGAGTTGAACTTGATGATCTGTAGAGGTCCCTTCCAACTCCTAGAGTTCTGTGATTCTGTTTGTATCTGCTACAGAATAAAGATGAGAGAAAATACTGGCCTTTGACTGAATGGCACAGCAGACATAGTGGTAATAGAAATGGCCTAATCTAAATCCATCTACTTTAGTCTTTACTGCTAAGAACTGCCCACAGAAATCCCAAGCTGTCAAGACCAAAGGGAAAGTATGAAACACAGAAAACTTACCCTTGTGAAGAAATACCCAGCTAGGAAATACTGACTGTATTGGACATATTCATGCCTATGGAGCCTGACAGCATACAATCACAAATGCCAAGCAAGATGGTTGATGTCACTGTTAGGCCACCCTTGAAAATCTTTCAATGAGGAGACACTCTTGAGTACTGGAAGAAAGTAGATGTCACTCCTGTCTTCAAGAAGGGCAGGAAAAACTATAGGGAAACTATGGGGGAAACTATGGGGGAAACTATGGGGGAAACTATGGGGGAAACTATGGGGCAGTCAGCCTCACCTTGATCCCCAGAAATGTGATGGAGCAAATAGTCTTGGAAGCCATTGGAACACATGAAGAAGGAGATTAGGAGCAGATAATAAGGATTTAAGAAGAGGGAAATCTGCCTGACCAACCTAATAACCTTCTGTGACAAAATGACAGGCTTGGTGGACAAGGAGAGAGCAGTGAATACTCTTTATATTGACTTTAGCAATCCTTTTGACAGGGATGCCCACAGTATCCCCAGAGAGAAACTGACTAAACAGAAACTAGATTAAGTAGACAGTGAAGTGATCTGAAAACTGTTCAAACTGCTGAGCTCAGAGGGTAATGATCAAATGGCAAAAAGTGCAACTTGAATGCAGTCACTAGTAATGTCCAATACTTTTTGATATCTTCATTAATGACCTTGTGTGATGAGACAGAGAACATACTCACCTATTTTGCAGACAAAATGAAATCAGAAGTAGCTGCTGAGGCATCAGTTGCACTCGGAGAGGCCTGGGCATGATGGAGAAATGGACTGACAGTAACTTCTTGAAGTTCAACAAATGGGAAATGTAAAGTCCTGCTCCTGGGAAAGAACAACCCCATGCCCCTATGCAAGCAGAGTGCCAAGCAGCTAGAAAGCATAAAATGAAATGGAGGATCTGGTGGAATACAAACTGGCCAAGACCCACCAACATTCCCTTGCAGCATACTCAGCTGTGTTAGCAAGATTGCTGCCAGCAGGTTGAGAGAGGTGAGATATTGGTGTGGAGTGACATTCAATTCTGGCCTCCCTAGTATAAGTGAGACTTGGATGTCCTGCAGCAAGACCACCAAAGGGCCATAAAATGATTAAAAGCTAAGAACATCTAACATATAAGGAAAGACTAAGAGAGCTGCAACTGCTCAGCTTGAAGAAGAGAAGGTTCAGGTTGATCTTATCTGTGTACAAGTACACAATGGGGGACAGTAAAGACAATGGAGCCAGACTCTTTCAGTCATGTCTAGTGAAAGGACAAGAGGCACAAATAGAAATATAGGAAATTGTTGTTATTTCCTGTATTTTTCTTAAGACTAAGAAACTGGTGCTGTGAGGGTTGCCAAAAGGGGTCGTGTAGTCTCCTTCCTTGGGAAGACTCAAAATCATCTGGATACAATCTCCAGCTGACCTGTCCTTGAGCACTGGGGGTCAAAGTAAACAAGCTCCAGAGCTCCCTCCCCATCTCAGACATTCTGTGATTTTGCAAATACTCTATTTTTAACCTTTGTTGTAAGTTACAAAGTTCTGAAGGTTTACACTCATACTATGGGAGCAAAAGGAAACCATGAAGCTTTTTAGTAATCAATGTTTTAAAATTTTCCACCTGAAATGAAACGCGCTTTGACAGAGCATAGGTTATTGTGTCATAATTTAAAGTCATTTACATGAAATATAGATTAGGGTGAACACAAAATGTTTTCTCTCAAGTCCAAGGAGACTTGATTCAGTGAATCCATCCTGCAGCGCTCAGCCATTTTCAGTCAGGGACATATTGGAAGCTGACATTGCTGCCTACTTCCAAAGCAATTCCCACAGCTCACTGTGACATTATTCATAATTTACAATGTACACAATTATTTTAGTAGTAAAACTTAAACATGCAATTGACCTTACATTCGGTGCCGTTAGAGTTAACACAGAGTTAAACATTCAGGAGATCCACTTCACTTTTGTACTTACTTCATTCTGGTAGAACCTGAAGTTCCTCCCAGGCACAGTGGAAACATAAAGAGACAACAGCACGTGCCCCAGAGGCTTAGAGAATACAGAACAGATGGGATGCAATACAGAAATTTTAAAAAGAAAAGAAAAGGAGACAACTAACATATGGAAACAATAAAACAGACACGCTTAGCAAAAAGTAGACTTCTAATTCAGTGGATTAGCTTCAGAGTCCGTCCTCATCGAGCAGCATTCATAAGAGCTGCATTAGACTACCTCGGGCAACAGTATTATGTCTACGTTCAAATTCCCTTGCTAAAGTAACTGTTCTACATGTGTTCAAGTAGATCAAATAACATACCAAAACATATGCAGTAAGGAAGGTCAGTAAGAGACTGTGACTTGGACACAAAATTAGGAAGAAGTCAATGACAGTACTGATCCAAGTCTTCCAAACTCAGCTCCCCACTCTATGCTAAAGCATCATTATACAGTAAAGACAGTATTTGTCACACATTTCTTTGCAAGTTTTTGTTTCAATTTTTCTAAGCAAGAACAATCTTACAGCATGTTTGTACTCCTCCATGTACGATAGGGGTCTGAACTCTGCCTGTTGCTTTCCTACTTTTATGTCATAAAAAGTATTTCAGAAGGAATAACAGTGGGATGGTAACATCAGAAGCAGCTAAAGCATTCTTCAGCAAAGTTGCTGAAATACAGGCATCAGTGCAAAAAGGAGCATTTGAATAAACCTAGATTTCAAAAATCACAAAGACATTTACATTACCACAGATGTTGCTGCCTTTACTTTCAACAAATGAAAATTAGGACAGAGTAAAAATACTATAAACTACTAAAGGATATTCCACAGGGGGGGGCAGGGTAATTTCACACAGGGTGATTTCCATGTAACTCAAATAGTTGAATTTGTCATATTTTTGTATGTATTGACAACGAACTTCAATATCTATAACTTCATAAACTCGCCTAGAACAGGCCGCGGTCCAAGAAGTAGAACTTGGAACATTTTCTTTTTATTGGTTTATCAGAATTACAGACGGCAGGGGGACAGGGGGACTGTAAGACCTAGCTGAGATGTCCTCATCTAATTGATAAAGATAGGCTCCTTGTGTAGTACTGGAGCAGAATGGCTAAGGAGAGCTTCCCCAGAGTAATAAGGGGCTATGGTGAGAGGCTGCATCTGGCAACCCCAAAAAAACCAACAAAAAAAATGATAACAGGAAGTGTAACAGCAAAGTTCAGTATGAGATGGACACTGTTCCCATACTCTGAATGCACATTTTCATTAATAGCTTCATTAACTTAGTAGAGGCAAAAAGGAAGTTTTCTTGTCTGAGCACCCTCGTCACATTTTTTCCATGCTATGTAATTAGCTGAAACAATTCAATTTGTAAAATGAACAAATTAAATTAACTTGACTCAACTCGAATCTGACATGCACCCATAGCCATTTGTCTCTATTAGGCAGACTGTGAGTTATCTAGTGCTACTGCACTTGCCAGAGCTGTACACTGAAATTATTACTGCCGTGAAATCTTTAAGAAATCAGAGACTTGGTCTGTCTAGCTACCTGGAATGGAAGTATGAGATCCTCACCTTTTCCTCAGTAGCATAAAATAACATTTTGTGCACTTCCACACACTTTCAGCGCCCTAAACCAGAATTTATTTATTGTTTCTGTGAAGCTATTTGCACCTTTCAACTGCACAGCAGTTGGCAGTCATAGAATCACACCATCATAGAATGATTTGGGATGAAAGGGATCTTAAAAATCATGTAGTTCCAACCCCCTTCCATGGGCCACCAACTAGATTTTGCTGGCCAGGGCCCCACACAACCTGGTCTTAAACATCTCTAGAGATGGGGCATCCACAACTTCCCAGAAGTCCCAAGAAGACCAAAATATACTTAGGCAGAAAGAGAACATGATGTGAAACGGCAAGCCCTTCACTCCTCCAGGTTTTGTTCAAAAGAGCAGGAAGCTTCATAATTCGTTTTACAAAGGGAGTAGAATCACACAACAGTTCAGGTTGAAAGAGATCTCAAAAGATCATGAAGTCCATCCTTTCGTGGGAAAAGGAACACTAGATGAGATCTAGTGTCTCTAGTTGGGCATCCTGAAAGTCATCGGTGAGGGGGATTTCACCATGCCCCTCGAGAGGTTATTCTAGTGACTGATAGTTCTCACTGTAAAACTTCTTTTCTACATCTGCACAAAACCTCTCCCAGTGCAAATTGTACTCGCTGCCCGTTACCTTCTCTGTATGGTTCCTTGCAAAGACAGAGCCCTCGTCTTCTTTCAGGAGCTCTTTTTAACTCCTGTGATGAGGTCCTTCTTAGGCCTTCTCCAGAGTGAAAAGACCTAGCCTGTTCAGTCTTTCCTCACAGGAGAGGTCTTCTAACCCTTTGATCATCTTTGTGGCCCTTTTTCAAACAGGAGAAAGAGACACAAACTCTTCAGAAAGCATTTCTGCCATTTGTGGAGCTGGAAGCAAATTCAAATGACTCCAAGTAGACAGGATCTGTCAGATTACAGTCCATAAGGAAAAGGAATCACAAGGTTGGAAACGACCTATAAGATCATCCAGTCCAACCGTCTCCTCATCACCATTGCCACCACAGGCACTAAACCACATCACGCAGCACGTCATCCAGACGCCTCTTGAACACTGCCAGGGACGGTGACTCCACCACCTCCCTGGGCAGCCATTCCAGTGCCTGACTACTCTCTGAGAGAAGAAGTTCTTCCTTATGTCCAACCTGAACCTCCTCTGATACAACTTGCGGCCATTGCCCCGTGTCCTGCCTGGGAGAAGAGGCCAGACCCTTTTGCACCACAGCCTCCCTTCAGGAAGTTGCACAGTGCAGTGAGGTCTCCCCTGAGCCTCCTCTTCTCCACACTGAACAATCCCAGCTCCCTCAGCTGCTCCTCATAAGGTTTGTGCTCCAGACCCCTCACCAGTTTTGCTGCCCTTCTCTGCACACGCTCCAGGATCTCAACATCTTTCCTGCAGTGAGGGGCCCAAAACTGAACACAGCACTCGAGGTGCGGCCTCACCAGAGCTGAGTACAGGGGATGCTCACCTCCCTGCTCCTGCTGGCCACACCATTCCTAATGCAGGCCAGGATGCCGTTGGCCCTCTTGGCCACCTGGGCACACAGTCGGCTCATGTTCAGCCGAGCATCAACCAACACCCCCAGGTCCTAGCTTCTAGAAGAAGCTAGAGTTGAGAAATGATTTCTTCCATTTGCCCCAGTACATCTCATCTTGGAGAAGGGAAGGCTCTGGGGAGACCTGATGGCATCCTTTCAGTATCTAACGGGGGCTATAAGAAAGAAATTGACTGACCATTTAGCAGGATCTGAGGTGGCAGGACAATGGGAAATGGTTTCAAACTTGAATGGGGGACATTTAGATTGAATAGAAGGAACAAGATTTTCACAGTGAGGGTAGTGAAGCACTGAAACAGGTTGCACAGAGAGGTGTAGATGCCTTCTGTATGGAGACATGGAAGGTCAGGCTGGACCAGGCTCCCATTAGACTCTTCTGTCTCTAGAACTTCTGCTTTGTTTGTCCCAATAAAACTACCCATATGCACAGGGACACACATTTTAGCACAATACAAATGAGACTGCAGTTTTTAGAGCTGTTGGATGAGGTGACCTTTAAACAGAAGGAGTTTGTAACTCTGCTGCAGAGCTCCATTAAGGCTTGGTGCCACAAACTGAACACTCGGAATAATGACAAAATGCTAATATCTGCTGCATAATGCAGTGAGCATTCTCTGCCTATGATAGATGGGCAGAATTAAGGAATCCTGTCTGCCAGACATGTTTTTAAATGAGATGACTCTCCAGATCTTACCCTGGATACAACTTTACATTTTCATAATTAATATGCATCTGAAGAGGAAGATCCCACTGCCAACCTGTATTGTGTAGTATTTGCTAAGGAACATATACATTTGCAGCTTTCAGGTGTGGTGAAACAGAAATTCTGCAACAACTTGAATTAAATTAAAAAAAATTAAAAAGAAATTAAGAACAAAGTATCACTCATGTATTTATATTAATTTTCAAACGTCATCCAACTTCATGGCATCTTACATTCTTCTATTCTGAACTCCTCTTAGACCGATGCCTATACTGACAACACTAACTTTCCTAAAAAAGTTGACTGGATAAAGCCAGAGGTTCTGGGTGGAAGTGTTGATGCTTTCGGTTGCTGGGATGGCAGGAGATGTTTGGACTTTTTCCTCAAACAGGTGTCAAGATAGGCCTTTCGCAGTTTGGGGTTATAGATGCATCCCTCACACTCTTGACCTGAAGAGGATGAAAATGAACTAAAACAGTCCAAGGCTTCCCTGTAATTCCAATCCTCAGCATCCAACTTCCTCCTGCCCTGTCCTGCCATCGCTGCATGCTGCAGAGAAACCCTTTAATTCAAATACATGCTTTTTCATTTATCTGTGCAATTATTTCAGGCAACTGCTGAGCAATGCTGATAGCATTTTTAAAACCTTGTTTTGTACACATCTCTACTTTGATGGATTTACCTAAGCAAAACAGTGACATTTAGCAGATTTCACAGTGAAGATGATGGCTTTAAAAATCAAGTAAAATATTGCACGTAACTGGGATGGTTGTATGTTCAACAGTCACCCTGAATCCTTCAATCATGTCCCCTTCTAAAAACACCAGAACAGGTGCGACAGGTAGGGTAACAGGCTCAATAACTGCGTGTGCAACAGATGAAAACATTTCATTGGCATCTTGGTGGAAAACATTGGTGACCAGAGGTCATCGCAACACATACAAAGGTCAACACGTGCTCTGAAACAAAATTTTCAGAGAAATGCTTCAGCATTAGAAATACAAGAAGCTCAGCTCTAACAGGACCACTTGTCCAGAGGTTTTTGACACAACACATTTCCTAGAAGCATTAGTAAGGAGAGCTCTTGGGGCAATAAAAGCAGGTAAGAAAGTAGTATGTTAAGAAAACAATACGGGACAATGGGTGATGCTCAGAGGTTATTTACTCAGGTTATTTACCTACTAATTGTTTTTGCAGATATTATATTTGCCAAGCAAATGAACAATTTGTGCTCCCCACAAGAAAGCACTCCACTGTTCAGAACACCTTTCACTTCTGCCAGATTTCTCACCGTTATTCTGCTGCAACTACTCGCAGCTACGCAGAAACGTCAGGAGAAAATAAAGCTGTGGGGTTCATTTTACAGCATCACTGCTGCTGACAGGGTTTTGTTTCTGAGCAGTTATTTTCACGCTGTGAAAGGACATGTTGTTACTCACAAAGCATACATATTCTGCAAGCACTACAAACAATAAATCCCTCTGCCAGATCACAGAATGGTTTGGTTTGGAAGAGAACTTAAAGACCACCTAGTTCCAACCCCTCTGCCACAGGCAGGGACATCCACTAGGTCAGGTTGCCCAAAGCCCCATCCAGCTTGGCCCTGAACATCTCCAGGGATGGGGCATCCACAACTTCTTTGGGTAACTTGTTCTAGTGCCTCATCACCCTCTGAGGAAATAATCTTTTCCTAATGTTTAACCTATGTCTACTCTCTTTTAGTTTAAAACCATTGCCCCTTGTCCTACATGCTTCTGTAGTCTCTCCCCATTCTTCTTACAAGCTCCCTTTAAGTACAGGAAGACCACTATAAGGTCTCCCTGGAGCCTTGCTTTCTTCAGGAAACAAGCCCAACTCCCTCAGCCTGTCTTCATAGGAGAGGTGCTCCAGCTCTCTGATCACCTTTGTGGCCATCCTCCAGACCTGTTCCAACATCTCCACATTTTTCTTCTGCTGAGGGCCCCAGACCTGAATGCAGGACCGCAGGTGGGGCTTCATGAGGGTGAAGCAGAAGGGAACATCTTGGTATCTCTAGCACACTCCAAGCCTGCAGGGTTTCATCCTCTATGTTTCTCTTCCCCTATATCATAAATTTCCTTGTCATCAGAAAAACGACCAGGAATTTCAAGCTAGCTCAGTCCATTACCACTTGGTCTTCTCTTTCTATCAGGAAGGCTCTATGAGTTGCATGTCTCTAGCACTCATGGTTTAAAAATGGAAAATTTGGAGGTAATCAATCCAAAATGCTTTGTTCAGAAGGGGCATTAAAACTCTCACTACAGAACTCAGAACTCATTCAAGGTTGCCAAGAAGATACCCTTTTCCACTTGATTTCAACTTCCCAAATTAAACCACACGGATCAAGGCTTTTTCCAAACACCTCCTGAACACTGCAAGGTACGGTACATCAACCAACTTTCTAGAAAATCTATTCTAACATCTGACCACCATCACGCCAAATAAATGTTTCCCAATGCCCAGTCTGACTCCCTCCTGGTACAGCTTTATGCTATTACCACAAGTCCAGACACCAACGACCAGGCACAGAGCCCAGTACCTCTCTCTGCTTCCCCTCTTGGCCTCCTCAGGACAGGACAGCCCACGTGTCCTCAGCCTCTCCTCAAAGGACAAATATCAAATATGGTAGAGAGTGGCTTTGCAACCACATCAGCCAATGCCTTCAGGACTCCAGGATGCATGTTGTCTGACCCCATTGGCTTGTATACATCCAGTCTCACGAGGCAGTCTTGGCCCTGCTCCACTCTTAAAGTGGGAGGGATTTGCTCCCCCAGCCCCTAAGTAGATGTTCAGGGACACGTGAGGCACAGAAAGTCTGACTACCAGAGGCAAACAACTCACTGAGTGCCTTAACTTCCATGCCTGGAGCCAGTTCTCCCTTCTCATTTATCAATTTATCATCCTCCTTTGCCTTTCTTTTCTGAACAATGTACCTTAGAATCCCTTTTTGTTATTTTTTTACATCCGTTACCAAATTCAGTTCCATATGCACCTTTGTTTTCCTTATCTCATCTCTACATGTCTTAACAGCATACCTACATTCTTCCCAGGCCACTCATCCCTGCTTCCACTGCCTATGCTTTTCCTTCTTATCCCTCTGTTTGATCAGCAAGGGCTTCATCAGTCATGCTGGTTTCTTGCCTCCTCTGCTTGATTTCTTATGCTGGTGGATGGAGAGCTCTTACTCTCTCAGAAAAGAGTCCTCAAAGGGCTGCCAGCTCTGTCCTGCTACTATATCCCTAAGGACAGTTTCTCAGGGATCTCTTCCAACAACTTCTTAAACATCCTGAAGTTCACAGTCCTGGCTCTGCTCTTTGCTAGGCTAATATTCCTCAAGTACATGACATCATCCAGGACATGGTCACTACAGCCCATGCTGCCACCAGTCTTAACCTCTTTAATGATCCACAGTAGTGAGCACCACATCCATTAACAATCCACCTCTGGGTGGCTTGTCAGACACCTGTATCAAGAAGTTATTCTCAGAGTCTACTGGGTTGCTTGCAGC